CTCATGAATGCCCGTGGAGAAGTACCATGGAAGGCGTTAAATTCAATCACTGTCTAACTGAGAAGACCATCCCTATCATCCGAAAAGACTCGAGGACAGTTCTGTTCCATAATAAGAACCATAAAGAAGAGCTAAAGAATTGGCCCGGTCAGCCGCCTCTCATGGCTACTCGATGAGCATCAGCCGACAGAGCAGACAGGATTATGAAGTAAATGTGGCACTAAGGGTAACCTTTCACTCTAAACCGACTGCTAGAGCGTGTTATGGGGTATAAATTGCCATTAGGTCTTCTTTTGGTCGATAAGGAGAAGGCATTCGACAGCGTGGAACTCGACGCTGTCCTGAAAGCTCTTGTAGAAGACGGAGTCGATGAGAACTATGTCGAAATCATTAAAGAAGCCAGTGCGAAGCAAATAAAGAATGCTCGACCGATACAACGCTTTTCTCAGACGCAGTTCGTGTACCGATAGAGAAGGGCGTGAGACAGGGCGATCCTTTATCACCCAAACTCTTTAATCCTGTCTCGAGATGGTGTTCCGGAAATTGAACTGGAAGGAGGGTCTGAACATCAACGGGGAACAGTTGAATCATCTACGGTTCGCAGACGACATAATACACATCGCAAAAGGTGCTCGAGAAATGAAGGAGATGCTGCAAGCGCTCAACGAACGAGGTAATGAAACGAGTCATAAAATGAACGCAACGAAAACGAGGGTGATGCAAAGTGTCGGCATGCCAGAGACCAATTTACGGGTAGACGACGCGGATTTGGAAGAAGTCAACAACTCTGTCTACTTGGGCCAAGAATTAAATATACTTCATAACCTCCTACCAGAGATTATGCGTCGAAGGGCTGCTGGACGGCGCAAATTCTATAGCATCATCGATGTCCTCAAACCTCAAAGTATCATACCAGTAAAACCGTGCTCGCCTCTTCAGTGGCGCAGTGCTGAAAGGAATGACGTACGGATGCTAAAAGTGGGCACCGACGAAGACAAAAGAAGATATACTGGTTGTGACGGAGAGTGCCATGGAACAAAGGGTGCTCCTATATCGACCGAACAAAACTCTCCGCAAAATGAGTGGCTTGCAAGACATCGTGAGAGCCATGACAGAGAGCAAGATACGTTGGACAGGCCACGTCGCACGTCTTGATCACAACCAATCGACGTCTGCATTGCCCAATGGTACCCAAGGGAAAAAAAACAACCACTCTGGCGACCTCTGATGAGATGACGGACGGACGTATGTAGAAGAAACAGCGAGAAGGAACTGGATGCAAACTGCCAAGGACAAAATCGCCTGGCATGAATGTGCTCGGCTTATGGGAACGTCAAAGATTCAATACTGACATTTGAGCAATCTAAAAAAAATAACTTTAAATAGGATATCTGATTTTTGATTCTAGGCCCTTGGTTATATCGACAGGTGGCTGATCGAGTCATGGTTAAAGACATCAAACACAGCAGATCGTAAAACCTTTATTGCGAACGCGTTTCGCTAAATATACGGCAGCATCATCAGCTCTGGGCTGAGCACATAAAACTGTTTCTTAACTTTGAACCACCAATCAACCACCTATCTCCATAAAACTTAATCGGCATGATTTCAAGTTGCTTCATCTTGCACCCTTGGTATGCTTGTAGCATAAAATATTTAGTCTAAGCATTGGCTGCCTGTCAGGTGATGTTGTGAAGAAGCTATTTTACGAATCTTATCAGTATATACAGCAGTACTGGCATCCTGTCAAGCTCAGAAATTCATCATCCATCCTTCCGACTGGATAAGTGCATTTCGACTGTGTACAACTGAAATTTCGTTTCCATTTAAACCTGTTTCCTAAACAGGTATAAAATGTAGTAATTAGGTGAATTTATTCGCTTATTTGTATACATCAACAAGCAAACCCGTATCTTTGGTTTTCTTAAGTATACAAATTGAAGAAAAATGGGTTGACGAACGAAGTTTTCAGTAAAGAAGCGTTGGCGCAATTTCCGAAGAAACTAAATCATGCTATTAAGAGAGAAATGTTACATTTCATGTGAACATCGAGGCAAACGGTTTATATTCCTGTTTATATTCCTGGCAACCAGGACAACCGGAAAGGAAACACTAAATCGCACCTATCAGAGGTATGCAAAGGTTTCTATTAAAGTGTGGTTCAAGATGATTTTGGAGCGATAGCCCACTCAAATAACTCCGTTAGAATATGGAAGCAACGTGCCTTTGACATAGGTGGCGAAATCTGGTTTGACAGGAATTATTCGATTATTAACATTCTCTGTCATCCGGAAGATCCTTGGAATACAACCTTTGCTTCTCCAGATTGAGAAATCTCAGCTGCGATGGTTTGGGCAGGAGATGGGAATGCCTCCAGAAAGGAAGGAAAAGCAACTGTTCCTTGCGAATTCGACCGCCAGAAGGTCCAGGGGACTGCCAAGATTACCCTGGTGCAAATATATGGATGGAGTCTGTTCCAGACTCCAGCTGCCTTCTGTCGAAGCTCAAACTCTGGCACGGATCGGGAACGTTGGAAGCTCTCTCTGACATGTCTGCCTCCGCGACTCGAAAGGAGAGGCGGCGATGGAAGATGAAGATAAAGATAACATTCTCTGTTATATGACCTATTTTTGCTATGATTTAACGACCTCAGAGAACCCTCGAAATGATAACGGATAAGGCGTCTGTCTTATGATAACAGCAATGTAGTATGGCCTCAGTTGTGCTTAAGACTAAGGGGGCCTCGCAACAGAGATAATGCAGTAAAATGGAACAAATAACGTAAATAAGGTTGAATATCGAAGAACAGAAATTGAAATCAAACTCACTCTTACCTGGAAGAGTCGCGGGCATGCCATAGGTGCATAACGATAGGATGATCAGTAATGTTAGCAGCTGCAGTTCCATCTTGCTGAATTTTGTAAGCGACGCGTGAACTTATATAGAAACCTGTCGGTTGTATTGTAAAATGCTCACATTTTCTATCAAAACAGGTTTACTTTTTAGCTGAATTATGTCATTAGCAGGTTTCGTTTCAGTCGTTTGACGTGTTGCGCCCACCTGATAAATAAACTACTTATAAATATTAAATCAGCTTTCATTTATTTGCATTTACACCGGCGTAATATAGTGGATTACATTTAAGAACTAGTTAAATCGCGTGCCTAATCACTTGCTCAGTCGGTGAGTGCTGTGACGTCATTTCTTTGTAATGTTTTATATATCTTTTCGAAAAGAAGTAACGGGCTCTTAATGATGATAGATTAAGAACGAGATGATTAGAAGTCTGGAAAAATGCACTTAATGAGTCATACCCTCGGTTACCACAGGCGTTTCTTCTTAAGCATAAAATAAGAATCCATGGAGAAGTCACTCACGAATAACGCCTATGACGGTTATTACGACACAGCCAGTACGTTTGCAATTTGTGTCAAAGAAAGAAGGGTGTTGTGAGTTAAGGAAAGGCTTCAATTTTTAAACATATCTTTCTAGACTTATAACCATCACTTTCATAATCTGTCATCTTATACGACTGATGTTCTATCAGGTTTCCGGTGTATTTTGGAGGATTGAACTGAATCAAAAGTTTTAATTGTCTGCATTGCAAGACCTTTGGTTTAAACGTAAGGTTTTGAAGAACTATCGCCTGTCAGCCATCAGGAGATCTTTTTACCAAATATATGTAGATTTTCGTAGGAGAAAGCAAAGACAATGAAAAGTAACTAAACGGCAATATGTAAAGAAGGGTTGAGTGACACTATGGCAATAGACAACGCAGTCAGCTTATGTGTAGCTGCTCATAAAAGTAAATTGGATCGTTTGTAGGACAGTTAGAAACTCTGGCTATAGAGGGGACAGTTGACTCCCTACAGACTCGCTTCTGGCCAACCATTTACTGAACGTCAATTGACCGACAGTTCGACCGGCACTGAATGGGCTCAGACTTTTTGCTGTGGTGACTCAACCTCCTACTAAATCAAGTCTCTAAGACCACTGCTAGAGGAACTGTCACTTTCTGAATAGCCCCAGTCCATAAAGTGTAATGCCTACTATTCAAATTCAGAGTAACAAGCTTCCTATATGAATATTGGTGGCGAAGAGCAAGACATTCCTATAACACACTGACCGAGAAAAAGATGCATCTAGCCTTTCTGGTGTGCAAATACCATGGTTCAGCCGCAGGCTTAAACGCAAATTGACCCCTCATAAAATGCTATGAGAAAAAGGTTCAGGGCACCTTGAAATTGGTTTTAAAGGAGTCAATCATTTATTATCTTACAGTAAAGCGCTTGTCAGATTGATCGTAGTTGCGGTTAGTGATCATTGTGCACATTTATATTCCGTAAACATTATGATGAAATTTTTCTACGGTTCATTCTATTTTCGAAACAGAGGGAATCAATTGTGTGTGGGTGTATCTACTGACATTGTTAACTTTTCTTGAGTCTAAGCCACACACAGGTCAAAACTGGTTGATCCATATTTGCACTATGCACTAACGAAAAACAAAC